TTTTGTCTTGTCTTGAATTTCATATCAATAGAATCATACAGCACGTAGTCTTTCATGTTCAACTTCTTTAGGAAAACCAGTCATATGTGAAGTATTTGAAAATAGTTTATAGGTTAGAGAAATGCAAGGAAAATAGTAAGGTTCACCAGCCAAGGTGTCCACCTACTTTGGTTTCAGGCTAAATAAAAATGTCCCCCCCAAAAATCAGGTTTTATGTGTTATTTACTGTCAGATCAGGCGAGGCAGGCATCGACCAAAGGAGGCAGATTTAAAAGGGCTGCTGAACGAGGCTTTATTGAGATATCACTCCCGGGCAGAATTCGATCAGATCCACAGAGGGGACAGAAGAAGGGTCTGAGGAGAAACCGTGTGGAAGCTCGACCGGACTGGACTTTTATGGGGATTACAGCAGGAAGGGAAGGGCTCAGGATAGGAAAAGGTGTTTCTAGGGTCCCTTGCCCCCTTGGAGTTGGTCWGGTGAGTTGGCTGAACTCCAGGATTGGCCAGGGGGTCCTGCTGATTGACAGGTGTTAGTCAGGAGATCTGGCTGATTGACAGGCGTTTCCACCGGCATCTGATTGATGTTCTTTTCCGGTGCAGGCTGCTTTGTTCTAAGTAGCCACCAAGTCACCACCAAGTTGCCACCACCGACCTAACATTTACATTTTTCTGACACTCAGCAAAAATGTGTAAACATTAAAACTAAAAATGTGTATCTAGATGCCACTGGAAACTTCTTTCTTGTACTAGAACTGATTAGCATACCTTGTTTTGATAAAACATTGAATTAAAAGACATCTTTTTATAGTTCTAACAATCTGATTCCCTCAGCCATTGATTTGGTCTATCGAGTCTCAAACAAGTAGCCTTCTACAAAAGTTATAAGTGATGATGACAATCAAATCCCTAAATGTAACATCATAACATGCACAATTGCTTACTTTTAAAGATGAATTTAAACCTTTTGTTTTTGCTTTCTGCCCTTATTTTCCATTTTATTTGATTGGAATTGAAAAAAATGGTTTAGATATACTGGAAAGCAAAAACTAACAAAGATGGGAAAATTAAGACTTGTCATATTGTATACATAGAATAGGAAGAAATCAGGTAGGCTACAAGRCTTACATAAGAGTTTAACATCAGATTGCTTATCACCTCAGCATTGCCCAGAAAATAGTGGGTGAGGAGAGTAGACAGACATCAAACACACCACCAAGGTACAAAACTACTTTGCAATGGTATGTTTGTGAAAAATCTATACATCTGCACCAATTCTTATCGTCTGTGGATCATGGTTACTCTAGACTTTTGTACTTTTATACTAAGACTCAGTAGTTTTCTGTATCTCTTTGTGGTTGTAAAAGTCTCAGCAGACTGAGTCATTTTAGAGTGCTGCACTGAAAAATAATTAGTTCTATGAAGATAACCTATGTCTTTCTGTAGATAAGGCCTTTTCCTAGGAAATTAGAGCTCTGGGAGGTCCCAAGAGGGCCTTGGAAATTTGAATAAGAAAAAGAACTAAGTTTAATTTTTAAAAGCTTATCTTTTACATCTGTCTTTGTGACAACTGTTGCTAAATGGTATTTCTAGAGGTGAGTAAAAAGGGAGATAAATAGGACCACTCTCAGGGGTTGCAGGTGGGTGAGTTCAACACCTACCTCTCTTGAGTCTTCTGTTTTCGTGGGGTTTTTTTCCCCCTGAAGTGCAATCAGATCGGATATCTGAGACAACTTTTAAAATATCAAAGTGCATCAGAGGCTGTCTAATAGTGTGTGTAGAAAACAGGAGTGTAGCAGTTAATACCCACTTTGATCAAATGTGACTTTCAGGTCTTTCACAGCACTCTGAGGGTTAGAAACAAGGAATTGGTGGACCAATTTGCTGTGCTTAATTGGCTGTTTGGTAAAAATAGTAGACTAATCCAGAGTTTTTAATTACATGAGGAGGGCATTTGAGTCTATATATTAGTTATTACTTGTGATGTTGTAGTGACCAGAGAGAAACAGATTCTCAGATATTTTACATGCTATTGAAAGATCTCAGATACTAAATACTAGCATTATGATTTGGACATGAGGTCTCTTCTAAAAGCACATATGTTAATACAGGAATGTTTGGAGGTGAAATGATTGGATTTTGAGAGCTATAGCCCAACAACCCATACTAGTTTGAATGGACTGGTTGGTAACTGTAGGCAGGTAGGGTATGGCTGGAGGAAGGGGGTTACTGGAATTTGTCCTGGAAGGGTTTATCTTCCCTGTGGTCCCTGATCTACCGCCTGGTACTTCCTGGCTGTCATGAATGGAACAGTGCTCCTCCACCACACTCTTCTGCCATGATGTTCAGCCTCACCTTGAGCCCACAGCAATGGATGTGGCCAACCATGAATCAAACCTCTCTAACCATGAGCCAAAATAAGCTTTGCCTCCTTTAAGTTGTTCTGGTAAGGTATTTTGGTTACAGCAATGCAAAGCTAAGCTAACTAATACAACTAATTTTTAAGTTGCCTTTCAAGAGAAGTCATTTCAAAATGAAATTCTTTGTATTTGGTGATAATTTTTTTTATTTCTAAACCCTGATTAATTCAAAATTGTTATGGAACAACCATGTAGAAGGTACAATCATAAGAATATGCCTAATTCTGTCTTCAGCAAACGTGATCTTCTATGAGTCACATGACTTTTGTGTTACTCAGCTTTCTGTTGCTGTGACAAAATACCTGAGATAATCAATTTGGAAGGAAGAAAGGTTGATTTTGGCTCATGGTTTTAGAGATTTCAGTAGATGGTTGCTTTGGGCCAATGAGGCCATAGCATACCATGGTGGAAGCACATGGTAGAGGAAGCCCCTCACTTCTGAGGACAGAAAACAGTGGAAAGAGAGGCAGAGGGGCCAAAAGCCCTTTAAGGGCATTCCCTCTGTTACCTCTTAAAGCTTCCACCTCCTGATAACGCCAAGGGCTGGTGACCAAGTCTTTAGCATATGGATCTTAAGAAGATATTTAAGATCCAAACCATAATAACTTGATTGCCATCTATTCTTCTAGAGAATGCTGTGGGGACTGAGTTCAATACTACTTGTGCAGGCCTTATTCCTGCTTTTAACAAGCTATGTCAGTACACATGCAAGGTTAACATGTTTTTTACTTGTACTGATATTTGGCTTTTTCATTTTAAAACTGCAAATTCAACTCAAAGATTGCAAGATCAAATTTGCCTTTTTTTAAAAAGTGCTACTATAAACAAAGCCCACTTTGTAATCAGAATCCTATTTTTTTCTGCATAAAACAGCATAGAACAATGGTCAGTTGTAAATACATGGATTCCAGAAAACTCAACAAATAAGAATTTGTCCTGTAAGTAAAGTAGGTTATGTAAATTTTAAGTGAATGAAGAAAAAAACACCAAATTAAGAGGGGCTAAAGGATCTTTTTCTTTCTTTGAAATACACTGCCTAATCTAACAAAATCTCCTCAATTCAAGTTTCTAAAAAATTACCTAGATTACATTTTTTTTAAAAAAAATTAATTCCCCAGCAGAGAATTCAGATTTTGTTTTTAACAATAAAGCATTAATAACAAAAAATAAATAACTAACTTTCCCCAGTAAACATGGGGTCAAACAAATTAACAAGGAAAAAAAGGAAACCTCGTTTTAAACCTTATTGCTGAAAATAATTCGAAATGTATTTGCARTATTTACTACCGTGGTAAGTGCCTGAAGATCTCTCTCAATTCCATGATCTTTGCCCTATTTTCTACCTAACTATATGGATAAAGGCAAGGAYGTGTGTTGACTTCAAGACATAGTCTGGACCTAAAAGCTTTTATTTGAAGCAATATCAACCATATTCCTAGTTTCCCTGAGATATATCTTCCAATTCACAAGTTCCTCCCCCCCTGGGGGGGGATGAGATTTCTGCTATTGATTTTCATTAAGTTGCTTTTCTCTACTTATATCTTGTAAACCTAAATCGTAGAAACTTTTTTTTATACGAACATGAACATGCAAAGGGAATACTAATGTTATGTCAAATGCAACTATGAATAAGAAGTAAGTGGGTGGTCTTATGGTATTTCAGTGAAGTCATCAGACGTCATCTCACTTCTTTATTTGGGGGTCGCAAACTCGTTTTCCAGGATTTAACAAGTATAAGGATAATAAAAAGTCAGTTTCGCACCCTATCAAAGCAGTGGCTGGGTGCCTTTTACTTCCCGGCAATATTAGATTCAATTAGATCGTGTCCCTTCAAAAGCTGTGAAGGCTGTATTCAATCTCCACCTTACGAAATGGGCAATTTTCTCCAGCAAAGTCAAGGCATCCTTCAAAGGATCTAAGACCTCAGTCACCAGAGTCGACGAAAGCGGAGTACACGCGTCAAATTAAAGGACCCTCAGACCTCATTCGTCACCGCAGCTCCTCGGATTCTAAACAGAGGGCTAAGAGGGTAAGGAGGATGGGGCCAAGAGCTTCATCCTTAATCCAAGAGGGAGACAAAGGTAACTGAGCGCGTGCGGAGTCCAGGCGGGAGCGGTGGGAGGCCCTCAGGGTTTCAGGTGGACTCGGAGAACCCGCCTGGACTGGGTAGAGGGGCAGGAAAATCCCAACTGGCGCGGGCGAATTGGCTCCCTGCAAGAGGGGCGAGGCTGGGAACGCCCCCCAGGTCCCGCCCCTCCGCGCTGGCCGAGAAATGAAACCGAGGCGAGGGCTCAGGTCACGCGCCCAGGAGGCAGGCCGCTCGAGCTTCCCGGGTCCGGCGTCTCAGAGGAAGAGCGCGTGCCTCACGTCCTACCCGCCGCCCCGCCCCCTGCGCCCTGCGCACGCGCAGCAGCGCCCCGCGGCCCACCCCCCCCCCCCCGTCCCCCGGGGTGGGCGGGGCGGGGAACCGAGTTAGGAGGCCGCTGGACATCGCCGACCCTAACGTGTGAGCCACGGCCGCCGTCGCCCCCGCCCCCGCCGCGTCACGACTCCCGTCCCGCCCTTCTCTGGCCCCTCCCCACGCTCTGTCCTCCCCCTTTCCCTCCTCCTCCTCAGACCGAGCGGTGACTTAAGCAACGGAGCGCGGTGAAGCCCATTTTTCTCTTTCCTCGCAGCCGCGCCGGGGAGCTCGCKGCGCGCGCCCCCTCTACTCCGGCCCGAGATGAATGCTGCGGCAGAAGCCGAGTTCAACATCCTCTTGGCCACCGACTCCTACAAGGTACAGTTCGGGGCGGGGGCAGGGGAGGACTGGGGGCGCGTCAGGGACGAGCGCGAGACTGCGGCGGCCGGGTCTGGGGGCACAGCGCGAGGCGGCCCCGCGGGAAGGCGCGGCGCCGGCCGCGGGATGGGGCAGGTGGAGCTGGCGCCGCAGTAGAGTGGAGGTGGGTCGAGGAGRGATGGAGGGATGGACGGCAGGAGGCGGGGCCTGGGGCTGTGCGGTGGGGGGGCGCGGCCGGGGTCGGGGCGCCGGGCTTCGGGGCTCCCGCGGAGCCCGCCGGCGTGCCGGCGCCCACAGCCTCTTCTGGAGCGGGCCTCTTGGCCCCGGGCTGGGTTGGCCTGGACGAGGGTTCGTCCGAGGACTGGACCAGTTGGGTAACGGCCTCTGGAGCACAGCGGTGGAGGGAGGAGAGGGCTTTTCCCTGCCGAGCCGATCCCGCGCGCTCGCCCCTTGCTGGGCAGGTATGTCCTTTTCCTGAGTATGAGGTGGGAGAGGTCCTGCTAGGGTCGCTAGAGCAGCCACGTTCCTGACCCTTTGGCTCCGGTGCGGAGGACACATGTTGTGCCCGGTAGCGTTGCTGGATTCTCCCCCATCCTACTCCACTGGGCTGCGTTTCAAACTCCTTTGCACCTAGTGATCACTTCTGATCCCTTGTGGCAGAAGCCAATGTGCTCTTACACCTTTGAGGTCACTAGGATTTCTGTGAAAAGGAAAGTGAAACACGAGGAGGTAGAGGAACTGGAGTTTTAACACTGGAGAACTTGTAGAGAGGGAAATGACACAACATTGCTTCGTATGCTTATTGGATACTTGCATGTGTAACTGTCCCATTAATTTTATTTGAAACTCACACACATTAGCAAAGAAGAAACTAGGGGAAAATCTAGCAAATACTCTTTCTCTTAGTTTTCAAATTATGTCAAATAAACTGGACTATACTTTGGCCAACTTTTGTTAGCAAAAACACCTAAAAGGTGAGATGTCAGACCAGAAAACCCACTTGCACAAAATAAATTTTAGTTTTAAATTTTAGTATTTACCTTTTAACTTGGGTGGTTGGAATATAATGATGAAGCATTATACTTTCATGTTTTTGTTTCCTTTTTGTTTTTAATACTCCAATATTGGAAGAGTATTTTTTAGAGAATTCCATTTTGCTTAAGTTCTGTTTTGTCCATTTCTTTGCAGTTGCTTTATGATTATGTTAATAGTATAATAGATATGTTTTCGTTTAAACAGAGCCAAGATTCAACACTGTGATCTTTCAAATGAAATTTTAAAGTGGAAATCTACACTATTGCGTGACCATTATAATATCAAGTATGGTCATTCACTTGACCCTAAAACCTGCCTCTGTTCTCTCAGTTCAAGTGTAATGTTTATGGTATCCTGAGTAGTGATTTTAGAAATGTCTCATTCATGGTTTTGTAGAATATTGCCTTAACTAAATCTTTAAAATAATTTTCAGATTTTTTGTTGTGTTTTGGCTTATGCAGTGATTGAATTGTAAATGATAAATGTTCATGGAAGTTAAGTCTAGCCTAAAAACAAAAGGGAGTGCTGTTCTTCTGGACATTWTATATGAAGAATGTAAAACTGGTTTAACATCAATTTTCTGGAATACGTTTAATTAGAATAGTGAATTACCTTGAAGCTTTCTAATCTCCTGCCAAGTCATACTTATCTACACTATTAGAATTTGCACTCATTTAATAAATTTCATTCCTGTCCATTTTCAAGTCAAGCTGGTATGTCTTATTCCCTGTCTTATATGAAGTCTTTCCAGAAGATTTTCACCTTAGTACTAGCTTTCACTTTTTCCCCCCAAGAAATCCCTCAAGAGGATCCAGATTGATTTGTTTTATACCAAGGGGTTATAGCAGTATACTAAAACAGATTGYGTGTTCCACAGTAACAATTAGTCTGTAAGTTTCATTTTCCTTAAAATTAGGTTTTTAGTGGTCCCTGTAGCCTGTTTTCTGTTTTATTTAACCTTTTTACCTTAGGTAAAGAAGAGAGATAAATAATAATAATGAGGTTAAAAGTAATAAAACTTTTATTTGGAAATTGTATAAGAATGTTATGTGTCCATATCAGTTTCTTAAAAACTTTTGGCCAATTAAAGTAGGGAACTAAGTAGCTAGAAGTGTTGATGAGGACAGCGAAATATGTTGATTTTTTTTTTTTTTCTAGTTGCTTTTCTGGTTTAATCCCACTCCTGGTGTATATAATTGCTAGTAACAAACCACAGCAGAAAATAGTTTTAACATTTCTGAACATTTTTCCTGTAGCAAATTAATGGAAGAGCTTGTCAATTGTACTGTAGTTGGAAAAGACAGATAGTAYGCAAAACTAATCCTTAGGCGTTGTACACTTTAAATCACATCTCACATTGGTTATAAAATGTGCTGTCCAATGTAGCTTGCTTCTCAGAAGATCATTTATAAGCTGTTAATCTAGAACTGAGCACATTTTCAACTGTTCATTTATTAAATATTGGAAATTCAGAGAATTTTTCAAGAACTRTTTTATTTATAGTGATGAATAAATAAGAATTCAGGAAGGAAGATTTTATTTCCTCTAATGACTGAATTAACAAATCTTAGAAGTTTGAGCTTTTTTAAGGAAAAGATTTGGAGAGAGATGAGAATTACCATATAGGCAAGTTAGTTCTTCCTAGTGTTATCCTCTGAGATTTTCCTGTTTTTCATAGTTGCCTCTGTCTAACTGCTTCTGAACTGATACTAAAGTGCTGGCATAATAACGCACTTGGCAGCCTGAGCCTCATGTGGAGGGGGCAGCTGCTTCAATTTGTACCCTAGAGACTACCTGTGCCTTCTTGTTGTGGATCCATATAGATATTTGTGACATTTTGCATATATTTCAAATTTCCCAGTAAGTTTTATAAGTTATAAGGAAAACTTGGGCAACAAGAATCGTATAAATAAGGATTTACTTTATAGTAGATAAATTGGTCAGTAATAATCTCATAATAACTTAAGAAAGTACAAGCAGCTGATGTCCTCCTTCATGAACTGATGAAATTTGATTTGAAGGAGTGGCAAAGGAGGTAAAAGTGATTAGAAATTTTGCACCAGGAGGTTTAAGAGAAGCAATATAATAATCACACATAGACATCTTTGGAATTTCTCTCTTTCCCCCAAATAATTTAACCCCCAAATTCTTAAGCCATACTTAGAAGTGTTTAGTGCTTCATAGCTGAAGAGCAATGAATTATTTTCAGGGGCAACAGATTTCCAGGACTTGAGTAATCCTAAATAATACTGAAAAGAAGAATTGCTTATGACTTTTGCTGTTTAGGGCATATTAGTTTTTTAATTTGTTTGTTTTGTTTTGGTTCTGGAGATTGAACTCAGAGGCACTTTACTACTAGGTTATATTCACAGCCCTTTTTATTTATTTTTTTGGAGCATATTAATGGAAGATCTTGTCTGTTGAGACAGGGTCTTGCTAAGTTGCTGAGGTTGACCTCACACTTGTGATCTTCCTGCCTCAGCCTCCTGAGCCTGTGGGATTACAGACATGAGCCACTGTGCCTGGTAAGCACATTCAGTTTGGAGAAGCACAAAGTCCTGACCAGTGTGGGGCTAGTAGATCCTTTTCTGATACTTTCAGGTGTTGTATAACAACATAACTTGCTCTGTGACCTTGGCTGTGTTACCTCTTCTGCTTTTATGTGTATATTTATTTGTTTATTTATCTTAATGATTGTTCTTTGTTATGTCCTCTCAAAAATAAAAGTATGAAAAATTAGGTTAGTAGTCATTGCCTTTGGCCATGTGATCCTATTGTGGGAGGAAAGATCTTGGAATAACATCTTATAGAAAGACATCAACATCATGAGACATCTAGAGAAACATCTAGATAAAATTACACCTCTCAGAAAGATTGTATGCATCTTAAATATGCCTCATATTTTTTTTTCAACTGTCATACTTGGAACAAGGATATATAACCTTGAGAATATATGTATATTTTTTTTATTTAGTTGATTGGCCAGCACTTCATAGTGGAAAAAGCTGCCGCTTTTTATATAGGGTTAGAACCTTGTTCTAGGCAGTGAAATAAGATCAGTTATTATTATCTAGTTTAATAATTTTTAGAAGCTTAACTTTCATTAGGTAAATCAGTCACATAACTGAAATTAAATTCTGTTGAAAAGCTGCATTTTCCTGTGTGTCTGTATTTACCATACATGTATTATTGTGTAAGTGGCATTCTATTACCTGCAGGAGGACCATGCCAGTTTAGGAAACTTTTGTTAATGGTAAGATTGGCCGAGGACRTTATCAGATATTTTCTCTTTCTCTATATATAGTGAAGAATTTTGTRTTTATTGTAGAATCTTCTCTAGTGATAGAAGTTAAAGTAGTACTAAAAAGTTAACATGATTTAGGAGCTTCCTTTTGTGTTCACTTTATTTCTGAATACTGTGAAACTTCTTGTTTGTATTACTTAATATATAAAACTGAGCTCTCAATTTCTCCACCCATTCCCCCAGTCTTGTCTTCCCTGTCTCAATGAATGGTGCCATTATTAACCTACTTGCTTAACCAAAAAAACTAAAAAGCATCTTTAATTCTTCCCTACCATTATTTTCCATATCCAGCCCCTCAGCCCTAGTTCTCTTTTTTCCCTCTAAAAATACTGGTTCACTTCTTTCAACTAGTCTAGCATTGGGCAGTAGTCTCTTAACTCCTGTTTTCACTCTGAGCATCCTGTAATCCATTCTCCATGCACCACCAAGCTGATTGATTCTTTTAAAATTTGAATCACAGGCTGGTGATACAATTCAGTAGTACAACATGTACTTAGCATGGACCAGGCCCTGTGTTCAATCCCCAACATCAAAAAATTAAAATGTGAACTAGATCATATTCACCCCAGCTTAATTTAAAATTAAAACTCCTTGTGGTACCCTATTTAGCCAATGATCTTATCTCTATGTCTGCCTACCTCTGATCTTACCATACTCTAAGAACCCACCACACTGGCCTGCCTTCTGTTCTATCCCTCATACTAAAGCATTTTCTGTCTGTCACTTAGGCCTTGCTCATGTCACCTCATAGAAGACTAACCGAGTCCCCCTAGCTCATCATTTTCTCTTCTTTTTCATAGCATCCATCTTGATCTGAAACTATTGTTTATATATTATTTTTCTCTTCCCCCCAGTTAAGCCTTCATTAACCCTGTGAGAATTAGTACCATGTCTATTTTACTTGYCAGTCCTCTGCATCTGAAACATAGTAATGCCTGATACATAGTATGYCCTGGGTATATATTTGTGAACGTATTAACTGTTTATAACTATTTCTTGATTTATGTCATATCATCCCATTTTCTGATGATGTTCAGAGTGTCCAGTTTAGCAGAAAATAAAATGAAGAGGACAGTAAATTAGCAAAACAAAGAGTTGCCATCTACTGATTGAATTCTTTGAATATTTACTAAGAAACTCTGCTTAAAATTTTTTTCACTTTAAACAATGTATATATACCATATAAATATATCTAAACAAGCTCTGTAGTCTACAGACTTTTAAGGTGTTAGCAGACAGTTAATAGTAAATAATACTTTCGTTTGTGACTTTGCCTAAACAGTTTAAATTCTTTACCTCTATTCTCTGAAACAGTTTTCATAAATTCTYTAAGATTTTAGAACATACTTTATTTATGACTAAGCAGACTAGAAACTAATTTTGTATTTTAAATGATAATTTGTTTTCATACTTAAGTATAGGTGAGTAAGCCTAATTTAAGACTTCAAAATTATAAACATAAGTAATTATTGTCCAGAACTGTATTTGTCTGATGGAAAATTTTTAGTATAATTTTAGATCCTGATGGAGTATTCAAAGACATTTCCATTGTCTTCCTTTCTCAGAAGAGGCAAATAATTAGTCTTCTTTTTTTAATATTTTTTTAGTTGTAGTTGGACACAACATCTTGATTTCACTTGTTTATTTTTGTATGTGGTGTTGAGAATTGAACCCAGGGTCTCGCACAAGCGAGGTGAGTGCTCTACCACTGAGCCACAACCCCAGCTCCTTGTAATGCTTTTAAATCTGTTGTAAGATGCATTGTTAAATATCTGAACTGTAAAGAAGGTCAGGCTATTGAGAAATCTTACCTGTGGATCTGACTTTTATAAACTTGCACTATGTGATCTAGACCTTGTTTTCAAATTTGACTTCATCGTGAGTGACTTTTCTTCTGTCTCCCTTAACCTCCACTAAAAGAGTTGGAGTTATTAGATTCTAAACTGTACATTTCATTTTTACATAACCTTGGGTATATTTTTAGATGGAGTTTTTTCTGATCTGTGTTTTTTAAGTAGTTGAGGTAATGATCTTACGGTATTTATTTCTGAAATATCACTCATAAATATATTTATCTCATTTTGAAATTTGATTTAATTACTGTGAGTTCTGTATTAGCTTTCTCACTTAGCTACTTAAACTGACAATGATAACATTCCTTAGGTTGTGACCTTAAAAAGCCCAAATATGTACATTTAAGTATTGCTGAAGCCCAGATATCAGATATCTCTTATAGCTGAGCAAAACAGGATTCTTAGTCTCCTGAAGAACCTAGGCTCTCAGATCACATATTATTATAAAGATTTGACCCCAAGATTGCCTGTATGCAACAGAAGGGAAACTGTAAGTATGCTTCATTGGAGAGGGAACAGAGGATTGCCATTCAGAAAGTGACCATGAACATGCATTCATTTTGGAATGCTTGTGCTAAGCTATCTTTAGGATAGAGCCAAGATTTACTGAGATTGAGCTGTGCAGTCAAAGAAAACGTTGGCTTTCCTAAACTTGAGACCAGAACTAAACAAGAAAATAATTTCTGTTTACAGTAGTCATCCGTGAAATTTAGTCCACAAAGATTTATTCCATTATTGTCATGATTCACCTTATACTATAAACTTTAAAGCTTTATGATTCCTTTCTTTCAACCAGGCAAATACATGTTATTCTTCCCCTTGTTTTGTTTTTATTAGTGACATGTTTTAATGTGGAGAAAACTAAAATAAAACTCAAATTATGACACTTTTACTTTTTATTTTCTTTAAACAAAAGCAGATAATTTTTGAGATTCTTAGAAATTTGTGCTGAAACCTATTCATATTTTTATTTATTTATTCATTTATTATTATAATTTGTTATACATGACAGCAAATGCATTTCAATTCACAGTACACATATAATCTTTTCTCTGATTGTATGCAAAGTAGAGTCACACCATTCATGTCTTCATACATGTACTTAGGGTAATGACGTCCATCTCATTCCACCACCTTTCCTATCCACAGGCCCCCTCCCCTATCTAAAGCTCCTCCATTCTTCCCATGCTCTCCCCGCACCCACACCCCCTCCCCCATTATGGATCAGCATTCACCTATAAGAGAAAACATTTGGCCTTTGGTTTTTGGTGGCTTGCTTTATTTAGCATGATATCTCCAGCTCCATCTAATTGCCTGCAAATGCCATGATTTTATTTTCTTTTAATGCTGAGTAATATTCCATTGCATATATATACCTCAGTTTCTTTATCCATTTATCTATTGAAGGGCATCTAGGTTGGTTTCACAATTTAGCTATTGTGAATTGTGTGTGTGTGAATATTATAAACATTGATGTGACTGTGTCACTGTAGTATACTGTTTTTAAGTCCTTTGAGTATAAACCGAGGAGTGGGAGGAGCTGGGTCAAATGATGGTTCCATTCCAAATTTTCCAAGGAATCTCCATACTGCTTTCCAGATTGGTTGCACCAATTTGCAGTCCCACCAGCAATATATGAGTGTGCCTTTTTCCTCACATCCTTGCCAACATTTATTGTTGTTTGTATTCTTAATAGCTGCAAAATCCAAAACTTTTGAGCACAAACATGATATCACAAAGATAAAAGGCCACACCTGACCTCATGTGACAGGTTGCACTCAAAACATGGGTGCACTATATGAGGTATATATAAAATCCAAATGAATTTTGTGTTAAGACTTTGTTTCTAGCTAAAAGATCTCATAATTATATATAAATATTTGAGAAGTAGTTCTGGTCCCAAGTGCTTCAGATAAGGAATACAAATACATTATGTGTCCAATTGCTAAGTTTCAGTTCATTATTTTGTATGATTGCTCCCCAGGAAGCTGCTTMTGTTTTCTGAATGAATGGCTGACTGTTCCTCAAGACCAATTGAAATTCTTTTCCAATTTAGAAGCCTTGTACCTACTTGAGTTCAGTCTTGTTGTTTATAAAATTTCGTAGTCTCTTTTGGTTTTGATTTTAAGATACTGAACTATTAAAATACTTATTTTTAATTCCATATGGCCAGGAAAATAAGCTGATCAATAGCAAGTAGTTTCCCAGGTTTTGAAATAACCTCAAGCCTTTTCTGTTATGACTTATGTTCTATTCTTCTGATGGTTTCATCTTGTTTTGGTGGAGCTGGGAATTGAACCCAAGGCCTCACATATGCTAGGCCAACATTTACCATGCAGCCTATATGCCCAGCCCTTTTCTGGTGTTTTCTAACTAAAGTGTTTTTCTTTATTTAGGTTACTCACTATAAACAGTACCCACCCAATACAAGTAAAGTTTATTCCTACTTTGAATGCCGTGAAAAGAAGACTGAAAACTCCAAAGTAAGGAAGGTGAAATACGAGGAAACAGTATTTTATGGGTTGCAGTACATTCTTAATAAGTACTTAAAAGGTACTACTTTTCCTAGTACATTTAAAATACTGCTTTTATGTAACTTCATGTTTTTTCTATATTGTTATAATATTTGAAGTAATTTTTAATAGTCTAATTTTGATATTTAATTATTTTATTTTTGTTTTGTGATGCTGGGGATTGAACCCAGGGCATGCACATGCTAGGCAAGTGCTTTACTTCTGAGCTATATCCCCAATCCTTAATTACTTTTAAGTATTTAGGGTCTGTTTAGAATCTTTTTTTTAATCTGTTAATTTGAATGCATTATATCTTAGAATTTGGCATTTATGCTTGGTGTCCTCAGTATGAGAAAGGTTTTCTGTATGGTGTCCTCAGTATGAGAAAGGTTTTCTGTATGGTGTCCTCAGTATGAGAAAGGTTTTCTGTATGGTGTCCTCAGTATGAGAAAGGTTTTCTGAAACCGATAAGTTTTGGAATAAAATTTGAAAAGTAATGTTGAAAAGCTAATCTGGTCTGCTAATAGTCTTTAGTCATTAATTCAAAGTATAGAATTTATTGACTTGGAAACTCATTTTGAATTATGATAGCAATTATAACTAGAATTATACTACTCAGTTTTACCTTCAAGACTTATTTTTCAAAACTACCTATAATTGTGGACTTATTTTCAAATGCATTTTAAAACCAGGAAATCCCCCAAGAATTTCTGTGCTTTATTATTTGAAAAGTTGTTTCTAATCTATTTTATAATCATATTTCTAGGGAGAAAACAATTCCCAAAGACATTATACATCTTGCAAATTTTATAATAAAAATAATTTTAAAATTGAATATAGGTTAAGTTTAATTTTATACAAATGATAAGTCTTTTCCATTTTCTTGGTTATTTTAAGATCAGACAGTTCAGATGTGCTATGCTATTGAAAATCTAGCTAGATATCAGAAGTACTTCTTTGTGGCAAGGTTGCTCAAGGTATATTAAATGAGTTTACTAGTTAACTTTATAGCTTCCAAAGATCAATGATATACTCARTTGAGCTCTATAGCTTTAAAACTTTTAAAGATATTATATATGGTTAAGCAAAATGTATTGATTGTGTGCTCTAGACCAGCATTATTATAAATTGTTCTATGTCTTTTTTAGCTCACAATCATCCTCTAAGTAGGTACTCTACTATTATTAGCCTTGTATTATAGCCAAAAGAATAAATGTATACAGGGGTGGGCAAAAATTACTAGGTTACTGGTCCTGAAGATATCACATTCTTTATGAATAAAGTGAGAATGTTCTGCTAGAAAACATAAAAAATGTTTGAATCATCTCAAAGAGTATATAAAATAATAGATAATTTGTTGTGATTTTTTAAAAAATAGTATAAGTAATAATTTTTTCTATTGTGCATCTGCTTTTAAAATAAATTAACCTTTATGCTTAGAGTGAGTGATTAGAAGTACAAGTTTCTTTTCTGATTGCTGTTGACTCTACGTGAGTCATTTAACCTGTTGCTATTTGTTTTAACCCATGGAATGGGTGAAATAACTGAAGACATTAATGCTATGACAATTCAGCAACTCACAGAATATGTTTAGAAATATAAATAGAACATGTGTATCCTTTTAGGTAAAGTAGTAACCAAAGAGAAAATCCAGGAAGCCAAAGAGGTATACAAAGAACATTTCCAAGATGATGTCTTTAATGAAAAGGGTTGGAACTACATTCTTGAGGTAAAAAAGTGGTTTTGTGTTTTGATCTGTTTTTGTTTTGTATTTAGTTCAAAATTTCTTGTGAAGGAATTTGAATAGAAGGTTAGACTGTAATTATAGTTCTTTTCTGCTTGCAATCTGAATATAATTGCTGTATTGGACATTCTTATTAAAATGTACTCAACATTTTGATTTTCCTACCTCCATGTAAATCATTAGCACATGATCTATAATAGGTCTAGGTAATTTATTATATGAATGAATTATAATTTAAATAACAACTTTTTTTGGAAAGGTAGTTTGATCCATTCTTGAAAATATACCTAAGAACATGTAATTATTTGTGAAAATAAATTAATAATTAAGAAAAGACATGGCTATTTGGGAATTTTAAAATTTCATTCTGTTTTTTGACTGAAAATAGATGCCCTAMGTCTATCACTACATAATAATTCTGGGACATTTCCCTCACTAAAGTTAGAATGTTTTAGTATAGATCCACTAAGTTGATTTTTATTCTTTATTGTACTTTAAATAATGTCTAGTGTGTTTAAATTTATTGCTTGAACTTCTGAAATGCCAAGAAATGGGAATTGAATCATAAGAGCTGAATGTCTTCTGATGGTTTCTGTATTATACAGATAGTCTGGGAATAGAATCTGTTAGCATCTCACAATGTTGTGTTAATTTATGTCTCAAAAATGAAAGTTTTCTTACATTATATAGACTGTCAAACACAATAATCACTTTAACTTTCATGCCTATATTAAAATACTGAGTTTTACTCTTAGGTAATTATGTACCTATGAAAAAGTTAGGGAAGCACACTGTGCTGCATATCTTAAATAAGATCAATAAAGTCTTTGGGCTGCACTTGCCTCATTTCTCTTTGTAAGATATGTTGTGAGAATAAAACACAGCAATCAATTAGGTCCTGTGCTTATTATTGTAACTTCCAGAGTGGTGCATCATTGCTGTGTTATGTGTTCAGGAAATCTTAGAGAATTGTAGATTCTCTAGAAAGTATCTTGTCTAGCCCCATTTTACAGAGTCTGAGACCTAGAGCTGTTGAGTGACTTGCCCTAGGTCTTCCATTTGCTTTTGAATCCAAGGCAGGATTTATAAGGGAGAGTACTTTCATGCTACATCATGCAGAATATTCTCGTTATGAATATTCTCTCTCACACACATATTCAATTATCTTGTTCCAAATCACATAAATTATTAGGCTTTTTGAAATAACATGACTTCCTAGCCAAAAGTTAACCACAGCCTTGGGCATAAAGCTGGGGAGGTGTACATTTAAATACCTAGTAACATATTATATAGCGGATTAACTCTCAGCCTAATTTGAAGGGAATTATTATAGTAGTAAGAAGTTCCTTATTGATGACCAAGTGCTGAGATTGGCTATCTCATGATTTCAGGTCTACTATCAGAATAAAGAATTTATTTAAGGTTCTTTGCAGAAATCTGCCTCCTTCCTTTCTCTCTCATCCTCTCAACTCCTTTCTTCTCTCCACTTTCTTTTATCCTTCATAGCAATCCTTTATTTTATCTTTGTCTTTAGCCTTTATATTATGGAAATGACCTGTACAGAATAAAATTAGTGTTCTTAGAATATTTTTCAAATGTTAGAAAAATAAACTCATCCTTTTTGTTTGTTTGTTTGTTTTCTGAACAAGTAGGGGGAAAATTGGTTTTGATTAGTTTGGAATTATCTACCTATTTTAGTGGTAGGTGTAACAGTATAACAGCATCTGTGATTGCTGTTTCCATGACAGTGAACTTAGCTTCTGTAAAACATTAATAAAATGGGCAGTTGAGCATTGTCTGTTGAATGAATGAATGAATGCATTGTTGTTTCCTACCAGAAGTACGATGGGCATCTTCCAATAGAAGTAAAGGCTGTTCCTGAAGGGTCTGTCATTCCCAGAGGAAACGTTCTTTTCACAGTGGAAAACACTGATCCAGAGTGCTACTGGCTTACAAATTGGATTGAGGTGAATTGTTTTTGTTTTTTAAAAATTCTTATTTAATAATAATTGAAGGTTACTATTATTGAACTGATTCTAGTTGAGAATTTGCTACTAATAAAGTTATATAATTTTCTACAGTTCAATAACTCTTCCAGGCCTCAGTTTCCTCATCTATAAAATGACGGTTGGGTTAAATGCTCTCTAAGGTTCTTTCCATTGAATTCTAATGGTCTAAGATTTTTATGTAAATAAAATCGGAGAATTATTATTTTTAAAGTTCAATTAGCTTCCATTTTTTTAGTTGTAATTATAAACATATAGTAGAGCAAAGTTAGAAAATTAGCAAAGGTACATAATACATTTTAGGGATATTCTGTTCCATTCAGACTAGTGGAATTTTATTTTAGCTTTTAATAATTATTTTATATTCTCTGATGTTTAAGTACTAGAGTCTACTATTTGATATTTCTCAGCTTCTCATTTAATAACACAAGCAAGATTCACTATTCATATGGTTAATTTCCAAAACTAAGAGACAGGCACATTATGGGATATTAGTCTACATTATAAAGCTTTTTTGTTTTCTTTCATGTATACCTAAGTAGTCATGTGTTTTCACATAGTCAYAGTTATGATAATGGTAATCTATTTAGTTTCATAACATTTTAATACGAATTTTATCTATAAGAGGAAATACTGTAGCAAGTAAATACAGAAATACCACCTTACTGAAAGTTGTTTACTTCATTGTTAAAACTAACTCTAATAATTTTATTGATTAAAATAATTGATTATGATGTAAAATAATATATTTAAAGTTCACTTTTAAAGACTGAGAAAACTTTGGAAAAGCAAGAAGTCTAAGAATATGTTTGAAATGTTTTGAAATAACATTTTTGACCAAGTTAAAACACTGTTAGAATCTTAACAGACCATAAACTCATCACAGGTCAATAATAGTAAAATGTACAATTAATTCAATAAAGGTTTTAATAGGTTGTATGCTAAAACTTAGAGTTAACTGTGAAAAGAGAGTGTATCTTACTAGTTTTATACTGGCAAATTTTGATTTTGAAGGAATAGTATTATTAGTAGAACAGGGTTTTTTGATGAGTTTTTGTTGTTGTTGGGGATTCATTCATTCATTCATTTTTGTGGAGGTAGGACTGGGGATCAAACCCAGGGCCTTTCTCATGCACATCATGCCACTGAACTGTCAGAGTAGAAGAGTTCTGAAATATATCATCTAGACTAGCATCTGCTTTAAAAGCCAAGGATCCCAGGCAGGAAGAAAATTCATCATCTGTGTGTAAACATTTTCTTTTCTTTTTAGTTTTTCTGACTGAGGATTTCATACTGTTCCTATGTCTAGTTGAACTTCCCTAAGCAAGTACTTATGAAAGTAATGATTTAGTTACCATTCTACCATTCTTCATGTACAGTTTCCTTTATCCTCTTCTGAAACTGAAAAATACATTAAAAAGAAATGTTTAATAACTATTATTATTTTGGGTACTTTTGTTAGAAAACCATAAAGTAAAAAGGTTTATATCAGTCATATTAGAGTGATAGTTTGTTAACAAATACATATATCATTTTAATAAAATAAATTATTAAACATAAATCCAACATAGGACTTTTAAATTTTGGCCAAGAAGTATATGTAGACCATAGCTTTTAGTTGCTTATAATCTGAAGCAATTTTTATTGAGTTTACCTTTAATGTATGTTATTTTAAATCATTTGAGTCCTAGGCAGTAATGTTTATCTAAGGCACAAGAATTATGGTCTAATTTTATTCCTTGTAGTTTCTGATAGCACACCCCCCCTTTTTTTAAGTTTACTGTGAATGTCCTATCTCCAGAACAGACTTCTCTGTAGTCAGTTTACATCCTTTGTGAGGTGTTTTGTTTTGTGTGAGGATAGAGGAAATTCATCCTATTCTTATCAATCTCTAATTCCCTTTTACCATTTGGTATTTGAAATCTGTTACCAGTCCCAACAAACTTGATGTCCCAGGTTTAAAACATTTTGAACAATATTACCAAGTAGTCTTTCTTTTCCCTTTCCTGATGCATGTTTTAGGTTATTAATAACTATTCATTGATTGTTATTCACCTGATAATACTATACTGAATTTAAAAATACACTAAAATTGCTGAATTGCTTGATTAGTTTCAGTATTGGTGCTGAATCCTCTCATCTGATTTCAAAATAAACTTAAGCATACCAAGGAGTTCTGCAAAGTGTCTCAGGCATATAAGGGGCTGAGGGGCAAGCACATTGGGCAAAATTTACTCCTCTCGTCTACCAAAAAACAAAACCATATCTTTCTGGTATTAAAAGAAAAAAAAAGATTTTAAAATGATAAACAGTGATGAAATGTCATCATTTTATAGCTGGGGAAATAGGCCTGAGAGGTGGGCAGACAACTGAACAGAGAAGGTGCCACCTTTGTTCTGTACCACACCATTTTTAACTCTGCAAAGTTCTTATCCTGCACAATGACATTACAGTGAACACTCTGAAAGGAAATTTATAGGTTCATTTACCTTAATCTTCATTTTCAGCTAAAAATTTTATCTTGATTTGTGGGCACATTGCTAAGTTCCAACAAGGCCTACTTCATTAGACCTCGGATTAACCCAAACTAACTTGCCTTTTTTTCCCTTGCTTACACCTACAGTGATCTTTTTAAAAGGGGAGTGATTTTATTAAGAGTATAATTTAAGCTGATTTTGTTGGACTATGGAAAGGAAATGGTGGTGTGAAGGATCACTRTGTCTGATAGTTATTTCTCTCCTTCCCTGGCATTTTTCGAGGGGTAAGGTCAATCTTCTACCTTTATAACTCAACTAGAGTTTTTTTCACATTGTGTTTTATATTTTTCTCATACTCCTAGATAATATTGTGATATCTGAGTTGAATAAAAATGAGAGTTGACTGAATTAAATTCAACAAATGAATATCAATTAAGTACCAGCTATGTGCCAAAAAAAAAAATTGCTGGACCCAAATTAGAGTAAGATATGTCTTATTAATGGCATTTTTAGGTAATTCATTCTTAACTAACCACTAATATGAAGAAGTAATGCTGAGGTAGTACCAGAAAAATAGGTAATTTTGCTAAGGAATCATGAAATGTGTGTGTGAGGRGGGGTACCTTTAAAAGCTTATTAAATAAGTGTGAAGAAGAGTTGAGGTCATGGACCAATGTTTTTAGAACACACAGTCCATTGAGGGCTGCATTGTAAAGGTAAAAAGTATAGTAGAAGATAAACTTTTAGATGGTAAACACTGCAAGATAATAGAAAACATTAATTGTATAGAATTGGTCTTTCTTCCCTACAGGAAGTAGAGTGCCATTAAAGTTTTTTTTTTTTTTTTAAGAATGAATCAACATAAATAAAGCTTGCTTTAGAATGATAGATAACCAGAGGCAGTATGAAGAATAAATCACAGAGACCAAAGTTTAGAGGTAGAAGGATCGCAGGCACTGGCAGTGGAATCAAAAAAGGAATTTCAAGAACAAAATGGTCAGAGATTAGAGGTGATTGATCTAAGTTAGGAGTTGCATCMGCTTTCTGTTGTGATACAAACTACTCCAGAACACACTGGCATAATAAAATATTGTTTGCAGTGATTCTATGGTTCACTGGATGGTCCTCTGGTAGTCTTGCTTGGACTTACGTACCAGCATTAGCTAGGCATTCTAGCTAGGCATTCTAAATTGCCTCACTCCCATGTGTGGGGCCTTAGCACAGAACGCTGAACATTACTAGGCCTCCATAACCTAGGCTGCTTCACAGCAGGATAGTTCAAAGTGCAAGAGTAGAAATTTCAAAACCTCCTAACAGGTTCTTGGAAGTCACACAACATGACTTTTGCTACATTCTTTTGGTCAAAGGCATATTGATTGAATCTAGGGATGAGGAAATGGACTATTTCTTTAGGAGAAGAGCTGCAAGTGCTGTATTTAACCAAGCCTGATACTATATTTTACTTGTTAATGACTAAATTGACAGGTCTAAGATGAAATCTTGTTGTTTTTACTTATTTATGGATCACTTAGCTGGTATTTAAAAGTTTTTTTTGTAAAATTTTAAGAAATTAAGTATTTTTTGGTTCAGCTTAGGCATTGTCATTTTAGCAGCTCTTTCTAAAATAGATTTGAAGCTTCTTCAAATAACATGCTATCAGGTTTATATGATAAAAATAGAAATTATCCTAGAATGGGAAAGAAGTAATTCCCTACCCAAAGTAATTAATGTTATTGCTATGATTAAGCATCAGACTTTGTTTGGTGTTTCTTGACAGCTAAGAAACAAGAAGAAACCGAGGAACAGTTCTTACCAAAGAGTAGGAACCTAGCAATTCTTCTACTTCCTAATATGAGAACCTATAGTCACTATATTACAAAATAAGTCAGCGACCTTGCAGTTGTATAGCATATGCAGAAATGTTTTATGTAGCTTCTTATAATAAATTTTAACAAAAGCTTAAGGATATATAAAATACAACATAGTAAATAGAATTTTCTAGTGCTAAACTCAGTGTCTCATGTACATGAACTACCAAATGTCATGTTACATCCAGCGAAACTTAAATACTGTACCACCTAGAGGAATAAATGAGTAACTTCTTTAAACTGATACTATTCAAGTTATAGTCTGTAAACCAGTACTAGTTCATGACCTGTTTGTTGCCTACATTAAATGCAGAAATAAAGAATAAGCATGTATAGAAACTTTACAATAATTTGACAGGCTTGACATCTGGGTATGAGTGTACTTTATAAAACTATCAGTCCATAACAGATTGAAAATTGGTCCTTCACCATGGTCTTTCAAAATATTTGCTTCTTTGGAGTTCTGGATACAAAAACTTGGTAACTTGAAGTTCTCTACTATTAAGGGCTTGGTGCATTTATCTTCTTTGCTGCTGATTTGAGAGCTGAGCTTTGTATTATATCTGAAATGCACATGGTAGGCATCCTACTGTTTAATTGAAATGTTTAATTGATATTCCTGATAGTGTGGAAGTCCAGAACATTCCTCCAGAGAAAGCTAGGATTTTCCTCAGGAAGAACCCTGTATTTTTCATTAAATATTTATGGGTAATTTTTGTCCCAACAGACTATTCTTGTGCAGTCCTGGTATCCAATCACAGTGGCCACAAATTCTAGAGAGCAGAAGAAAATATTGGCCAAATATTTGTTAGAAACTTCTGGTAACTTAGATGGTCTGGAATACAAGTTACATGATTTTGGCTACAGAGGAGTCTCTTCCCAAGAGGTAAGAAACTGAAATAAATCTTATTTAATAAAATGTAGATTGTCTGGTAGAGTACCACTATAAACGTTTCTGGATGTTAGTAGGATTAGTATAGAACACCTTTTAAAATTCCAAAGATTCAGTCAACACTACGTGTTCCTCTCTGTTCAAGACACATTTGCTATTTTGTCTTCTAACAAGTGTCCTAGTCCTTGATACATTTGATGGAGGGATGGATGGACATACAGATATAATAAATACATCACATGTCAAATAATGCTATAGAGAAGCATAAGACAGGATAGAGGAAGGAAGAATGATGGAAAGTGAAGGTGGGGCACTAATAAATAGGTCTTTTTGAGAAGGTAAAAGTTGAATCCTTAAATGTTTAGGAAAAACAGAATCTTTGTATTATCTGTTTAAAATAGCTAAAGACAGTAATTCCCTTAGGAGCTATGCTAAACATGGGCTATATTAAATATGGGTTTTCTTTTTGAATTTTTGGTTTATCATTGATTTTCCAGACTGCTGGCATAGGAGCTTCTGCTCATTTGGTTAACTTCAAAGGAACAGATACAGTAGCAGGAATTGCACTAATTAAAAAATATTATGGAACAAAAGATCCTGTCCCAGGCTATTCTGTTCCAGCTGCAGAACACAGGTAAAATTTTGTTTTCATCCTACCATTAAACTTTTGTTTTCTAAAACTACATATTTTTAGTTTGGTATTTGTAACTCAAATGATATTCTGCTTAATTAAAGAACATGGCATTATAGTAAACCTTCATGAATATAAGCAATAATAATTCAGTGTTTATACTTTCTATAAAGATTAATATCAGGGAGATTCAGAACTTTTAACCACCCTAGTAAAACAATTTAAGATCTTTTTTCCAATACTTATATTGCCACATAGGTTTTATGTAAGGGATATTTTTCATTTGCTATATTTCCATATACAGATTTTCTTCACTAAATGAAGTCAAGAATTGTAAATTCCTGATCACTCTTTTTTACCTTATCTTTGCCCTTGCAATTGCCATACGGATTCAGTAACTTCAACTGTAGATGAGCAAGGAAGCCCTTTTGATGAAAGGAAGAGTATTCACATTCTTTTTACGCTTTTTTGCTCTCAAACCATCTCTAGTGAAACCAGGAAGAAATTATAATCTGGGCTACTGCTGCTCTAATCATAGAATTAACTTTATTAAAAATAAATGGAGGTCTTAAAATATATTTCAGGGGTATTTATAACAATTATTTAATAATTTGGAAATGTTTATTAAGTTCCGCTAGTACTTGAAAATTACAGGGTGCTAAAACTAGCAGTGAGTTTAGAATGAGCTTTATTTTATTTTTTAATAGTTACTTATTATCTAATGCATAACTGGTCAGGTTTCATGTGCAGAGCAGTCTCCTGAGTGCTACGACAGATAAAAAGAAAAAAAAATCTGACCGTATCCTTAGGATAAATAGAGTACACTAGTAAAAGTCTGCTGTGTTGGTTAAATAGTTCTACTAAAGAGGTACAGTTAAGGTGCTATTGCAGTGCAAGGCAAAGAGAGGTAGGATCACTGGTAGGATCAAGATGGCTTTTAAAAAGAGATGAGATCTTGATTCTTGAAGGAGTTATAAAATTTGAGGGAGACATTGTTTACTATGTGTCAAACCTAGTCATTTGAGAGGAGAGCATAGATGTGTTCAGGAAGTAAAGGCTGAAACAGATTTTTCAGAGAACATAGAGTAGATTGAAAATAGATTAAAGTTCATAAGAGCCTTCAAATTCATTTTGACATTGAATGTTAACTGTGTGCACATCATACTAGTTTATCCTTAATTAGGCCTTTTTACAATTAATTTATTTATTTTAATTAGGTATATATGACAGCAAAATGCATTTTGATTTAATGTACACAGTAGCAGCACAACTTTTCATTTAAGTGGTTGTACACGACGTAACATCACACCATACATGTACCTAGGGTAATGATGTCCATCAACTTATATCATCTTTCCTGCCCCCATGCACCCTCTCTRCCCTCTCCCCTTTGCCCAATCACAGTTCCCCATTTTTCCCATGCCTCCCTCTTCCCCATTATGGATCAGCATCCACTTATTAGAGAGAATATTTGGCTTTTTTTAGCGGGGGGGAGAATTGGCTTACTTCACTAGCATGATATTCTCCAGCTCCATCCATTTACCTGCAAATGCCATGATTTTATTCTTTTTTATTGTTGAGTATTATTCCATTGTGTGTATATACCACAGTTTCTTTATCCATTCATCTATTGAGGGGCATCTAGATTGTTTCCACAGTTTAGCTATTGTGAATTGTGCTGCTATGAACATTGATATGGCTGTGTTACTATAGTATGATTTTAAGTCTTTTGGGTATAGACTGAGGAGTAAGGTAGCTGGGTCAAATGATGGTCCCATTCCAAGTATTTCTAAGGAAACTCCATACTGCTTTCCAGATTGGTTGCACCAATTTTCTGTCCCACCAGCAATGTATGAGTGTGCCTTTTCCCCCACATTTCTCGCCAACATTTATTGTTGTCTGTATTCTTGATAACTGCCATTCTGACTGGCATGAGATGAAATCTTAAAAGTGATTTTGATGCATTTCTCTAATTACTAGAGATGTTGAACATTTTTTCATATATTTGTTGATCTAATGTATATCTTCTTTTGAGAAATGTCTATTTAGCTCCTTAGCCCATTTATTGATTGTTTTTTTTTTTTTCTGGTGTTAAGTTTTTTGAGTTCTTTATATATCCTGGAGATTAATGCTCTGACTTACGTGTAACAAAAATTTGCTCCCAAAATGTAGGCTCTCTCTTCACCTCACTGATTGTTTCTTTTGCTAAGAAGAAGCTTTTTAGTTTGAGTCCCTCCCATTTATTAATTAAATCCCAACATCATTCCTTATAGAAATGGAAAAAGCAATCATGAAATTCATTTGGAAAAATAAGAGACCCAGAATAGTCAAAGTAATCCTTAGCAAGAAGAGTGAAGCCAGAGACATCACAATACCGGATCTTATACTACAAAGCTATAGTAACAAAAAAGGCATGGTATTGGCACCAAAATAGACATGTAGAGCAATGGTACAGAATACAAGATACAGAGACAAACACACATAAAATACAGTTATCTTATATTAGACAAAAGTGCCAAAAACATACATTGGAGAACAGATAGGCTTTTCAACAAATGGTGCTGGGAGAACTGGAAATCCATATACAAAAAAATGAAAATAAACCCCTATCTCTCACCATGCACAAAACTCAACTCAAAATGGATCAAGGACTTAGGAATTAGTCCAGAAAGCCTGCGCCTAATAGAGCAAAAAGTAGGCCCAAATCTATATCACATCAGATTACGCCCCTACTTCCTTAACAAGATTCCTAAAGCACAAGAAATAAAATCAAGAATTAATTATAAATGGGATGGWATCAAATTAAAAAGCTTCTTCTCAGCAAAAGAAAGAAACAATGAGATAAAAAGAGAATCTATATTTGGGAGCAAATTTTTGCCACACACACGTCAGATAGAGCATTAATCTCTGGGATACATAAAGAACTCAAAAAACTTAACACCAAAAAACACAAACAACCCAATCAATAAATGGGCTAAGGAGCTGAATAGGCCTTTTTTTAATGAGAACAGTCCCTGAAGTTTTTGAGCAAAGAAACAATGTTATCAGAGACATACTTTAGGAAATTATTTTGAAAGCAGGATTTCCTATATACTTGAAAAACCAGAAGCTAGGCTTTATAGGAGACAGTCTTGAGGAGATGAGATCCAGAACCAGGTGGCTAAATAACTGAAAAGAAGTAGATAAACATAAGCAGTGCTCAAGAGATAAAATTGCTAAAACTTGGTGATATGAGTTGAAGTTTAGTAGAGAGTTGATTCAGCCAACATTTTTGAACATTGCTATATTAGTAGAAGCTTATTGAACACTTTCATATATGTTTCAAGAGACTAATAAGTCGGAAATTAAGGATGTTGTTAATAGATAGTTTTAGGTTTAAAGAGTATTGGTAGGGGGCGGTACCAGGGATTGAACTCAAGGGAACGAACCACTGAGCCACATCCCCAGCTCTATTTTGTATTTTATTTAGAGACCAGGTCTCACTGAGTTGCTTAGCGCCTCACTGTTGCTGAGGCTGGCTTTGAACTCTCGAACCTCCTGCCTCAGTCTTCAGAGCTACTGGGATTACAGACGTATGCCACCACATGCAGCGGGTTAGAATATTTTTATTTGAACTTACATGTGCATACATCTTTTAAAATTTTAATGTAGTAATCATATAGTAGACTCTTCGCTGGTGATTTTGTTTTCATAGTAATAACATCATAAATATACCATAGATCTGAAAATAAATATAATATCTACTTTAGGGCATTTGTGTTAAAGTGAAATGGACACTGCAATGAGCACAGAGTGAAAATCCAGTTCTATATTATGGTCCTGTAATGCTTACTGTATTTGACTTCTTGATATGTAGGAATAGTTCAGCTATTCTTAAATAGAAATATCTTTTAAACAACATAGTACAGTGAAAAGAACACTGGACTGAAAGTTGGTAAACCTTGAGTGACCTTACAGCTGACAGTGGGTGGCCTTGGGCAAGTCATTTATCTCTCTGTTCTTTGTTACCTTCATCCAACCAAACAAAAGGAGAAACTAAGATATTGTATCTCCAGCATAAGAAGTTCATCAAAAGTAAATGCATCAAAATAACCTTAGGAGAACTCAGCATTACTATTATCATTATAATATATTTTCTTAGAGAGTATGAGAATCCAGACATAGAAATAATTCAGTCACATGACTTTTCCCTGTCAACTTTGGAAAAAGGGTTGATTTTAATTTGATGCATGAAATTTGGGGTAATAGGATGGGTAGAATTCATGAAACAAACAACAAATATTTACAATCTCCACAGAGAAGTACTGACTTTAGAAGAGGAGGTATAATGAAGGGTTTGTGCAGAGGGAGCCATTAGACACATCTGGGTGATGGGATAAAGATACTCAACCTCCTACCTAACAAAGTAGATCTGGAGCCAGGAGAAAAGCATGGACTACTGTACAAGTTTTGGAAACCCTCAACACTAATTTTTTAACCCTTTGAGAGTTTGACACAGGGAGATATTGCAGAGGAACACAAGCGCCTGAGTCAGAACCTTGGAAAGTACTAACATTTGACAGGTCAAGTGGAAGGGGAACACAATATCTGGGAGAAATTAAAAAGGAATCATAGAAATGGGAAAAAATTAAATGTGAGAGATATCATTGAAGTCAGGGGAAAGAGTGCTTCTGGGATGTTCACRTACCATGGAGAAAGCAAGTAACATGAGGACTAAAAGTCAGTTGTTTGTTAGACATGGTACACATCATTTGTAGCAGAGTTAGATGGCTTTATTGGTATAACTTTGGAGAACAGTATCTGAATAAGCAGTGACCTCTAACTGCAGGTTTATTCTTACATTGTAAAAATTCATTAGAGTTGGTGTTTATTGGACTGAATTCTCTCAGAAAGAGGACAGTAGCATTCTGAATATCTTACTTTTCTCTTTAGCCTTCAGTTGCTTGCATGAAGTAGACAGCTAACATCATAGCAACTGACAGCTCTGTAGATTCTGAGAGTGTTCGCTATTAAATAATTTTTATATAAATGAGCCCTTAATTAACTTTAGACAAGACTAGTCTCTGGGTAGCTAGGTCTTTATAGGCCTGACATGGGCCTACACTCAGCTACTCCCAGCTTACTACTAACAGTATGTGAAAAAAATGCTAATTTCCAGTCCTTTATAAAAAGAATTATATAAAATGGCAATTGCAAATTTAAATTAGTATAGCTCTTTAAACAGTTTTAAGGCAAATTTATACTTATATGGACTGTATAATGAATAAGCTTTCACACTTTCTATTATTTCATAGAAGAGTACAGATTAAAAAAAAGAGAAGAGGGAGAGTCACCGAGACTAGAAAATTAGAAAGGAAAAAAAAAATTGACTGACATAAGAAACTGGAAATAATATTTTCAAATTCATTACTAAATTCAGTTTAAGAATTCTTAAAATTATATATTAAGCATCAAATGTTTATAAATATATGAGTTATTAAATCTATTCAATAAAAACCATTACTGAGGAAATTGCAAAAAAATCATGCTAGTCATTCTTGCCCAATAGTATGAAACTCTCATACTTTATTTCCCATCTTAATTATGTTTTGCCCCAAATAAACATTAAAATTCTTGTTCCTTGGGCATGTATTAATTAGTAATARATAATCTGTAAGTGAAATAAATGACTGCCTGTTAACTGCCCATTTGAAGATACAACAGTTAGTTGACTGTATGTATGAAACTTACAGAATAAGTGCCTCTAAATGTAAGATTTTGAAAGATTAAAAAAAATGTTCCTACTATCATTGGTAGTTTCAAAACTTCATGGAAGAGGGCCAAGTGCCTGCATTGCCTAGCAAAATAATGGGAGTATGTATTCATTCTTTGTAATAKCTTGGCATAAAGTATGGAGGACATTTAGCAAGGACTTTTTAGCTTATTGATTTTAAAGAATAGATTGAGGAATACCAACAACCCCCCCAAAACAACAACAAAAAGTTTTTAATTTGGTTGAATATGACTTAAGAGCCAGTAACTTAATAACTACTAAAACCAAATAAGGTTACTTGAAATTGCTGAAAACAAATTGGCCAAGAGAAAATCTGTCCCAAATATTACATTTACCTTATGACTTGCATTCATAAATTAAATCCTCACCTTCTCTGTGGTGTTGTTGATGTAGATAGTAAACATAAGATATGGTTAATGGTGCTTCAGGAGTAGATAATGTGTTGCTAAGTAAATCTGTATTTTCATTTTGTTTTCTAGTACCATAACAGCTTGGGGGAAAGACCATGAAAAAGATGCTTTTGAACATATAGTAACACAGTTTTCATCAGTGCCTGTATCTGTGGTCAGCGATAGCTATGACATTTATAATGCGTGTGAAAAAATATGGGGTGAAGATCTAAGACATTTAATAGTATCAAGAAGTTCAGAGGCACCACTAATAATCAGACCTGATTCTGGAAATCCTCTTGACACTGTATTAAAGGTAAATTTTAATATGTAACTTGATCATTAAAATGCCTGTAGACCAACTGCATCAACACTACTTTTTATTTATACACATATCATTTCAGAGCTTTATGGATCAGTCTCCTTTTTTTTTTTTTTTTTAAGAATTATAGCCCAGAGAGAGTAATAGATTTGCCCAAGGTCACACAATAATAACAGAGAAAGGATACCAAGAGTTATGGGTTACTTTTATACTATCAAGTAGTTACTGCTGAATTGATCATTTCTTTCCTGTGTACCTTCAAATTCAGTTAATGGCATTACCATTGTAATCCTGTGTTTGGGGCACCAAGTGTATGGTTTCTTTGTTTTATCACAAATCATTGTTTTACCTTTGAAGTTGTGAGAAATATGTGCAGGGTGATRTGGAATAAATATGATTTAAAATTACTTTTCCAGTAGTAATTCTTTTGCAGTACTGCTGATAATATAGCAATATTGCTTTTTTTTTTCTTCTTCCAGTGTTTAGGACTTGATTGCTTTCAAAAAGCACTAATATGAGCAGGATTAATAAATGCCTCCTACTAGAAAAATATTGTAGGAGATAGGTGCCTTACATTAAAATGTGTCATTTAATCTCATCAAAAGTCCTATAATAAACATTATTTTCTCTGTTATAAAAGAAGAAACAGAGGCTTAGAGTTAAAGTGACTTGCTCAAGGTCACACAACATGAAAAATAAGGAGCAAGGATCCACTATAGGTCTTTTGACTGYAGCTTTCCTACTTTCCCACTTTCTCAGCTAATGAACATATGATAAATTACCCCTTGTGAAGAGGGGACTTAGCTACAAGGAGGCCTTTTTCTATTAAATGATAAGCCACTCTGAAAGTCTTGTCTTAGCCTGAAATATTTGGTTTTAGCAAGCCAAATGGGGCTTCACCTTTTTATTACATAGTAAAAAYGTACATAACTAGTTATAAGAACAGATTGAGCTGGGCGAGGTGATGTGTGCCTCTAATCCCAGCAGCTCAGGAGACTGAGGCAGGAGGATCACGAGTTCAAATCCAGAAAGCAAGGCACTAAGCAACTCAGTGAGACACTGTTTCTAAATAAAATATAAAATAGGGCTGAGGATGTGGCTCAGTGATCGAGTACCCCTGAGTTCGATCCCCGGGACACACACACACACACACACACACACACATGTTATCTATTTGGAATTTTCTCATTATCAGGATATTTAAATCAGTTCATTTAAGAAAAAGAAGGGATGGGAGGGGCTGCCTTGTATGTATTTTCTATCTCTGACCAAGTTTTCCAAGAAATTTTAATCTGTTTTTAAGTATTTCAACTGCTACAAAACTTTGAATAGTTAATGAATGAGTAGGATGGTTTGCCTATATTATGCAATTTGGCTTTAATAGAAGAAAGGAGAACCTGAGAGAAACTATGCATTTATATGCTTCATTTCCAACTTTGTCTATCACAGTTTCTTTGAATTTTGTAATTCAAATGGATTTATATTTGAGTTACATCAAACAAAATTAAGCCAAACAAAACTTGGACACAAGCAGAATAAAATATAATATATATGTCTCTACTCTCATTGGTATATGATTTCAAAAATTCACAGAAAAGAGCCAAGTGCTTGCATTGCCTAGCCAAATAATGGGAGTATGTATTCATTCTTTCTAACATCTTAGCATAGTATGGAGGACAAGGGCTGAATCAAATGTATAATCATGAGTTTGTTGAATCATGTTTTACATACTTCTTTAAAATATTTGTTTTAATCTAATAATGAGGATTTTCTTCCTTGAATCTTTGTAATTTGAAAAGATATAAAGGGAAAAAAACTGTTTTAAATACTTTATGATGGAAATAACATACCTCTTTCTAATATGATTAAAAGAAATTGGGATCAAATTTTATAAACTTTTTAAGAAGTTGAATTAATTTTTATATTCTCAAGATTGTCTAACAAAGTAAAATCATTTTAACTTTGAAAAGTTTTTATACTTTTTTTCAGTTTCAGTTATTTTTGTTGCATGTGTTTTTTCATACAGGTTTTGGATATTTTAGGTAAGAAGTTTCCTGTTACTGAGAACTCAAAGGGCTACAAGTTGCTGCCACCTTATCTTAGAGTTATCCAAGGGGATGGAGTAGATATTAACACCTTACAAGAGGTAGGTGTTCCAATAAGGAAATCCTTATAATTAAACTTTGTGTTTGTTTGATAAACATGTTAATTTAAATATAATTGTAAGTCTTATGTAAGTGTTTATGGTGGTATATGTCTTTTCTGTGCATTTCCTAAAGTTTAGGAGTAACAGTAGCTTAAAATATGGAAATACCAGTCAAAGCATATGTACTCTTCTAGTCCTCATTGGCCACCCTGGATAGTGATTCTAAAGACTTTATCACTGTCGGTCCAGGAATATTCCTTGTAGTATAAAACAAAAGTTTTTTATTGTTTTCATAAAGTCTGGTTTTCATAAAAGGGAGCTGCTCCTTCCTTAACAATATAAAACTTAAATGATATTAATAGGTGCTTTTTTTCAGAAATTATGAAATGGTTTGTCCTGTCTTCTAAATTAAGGATTGATTGTCATCACTGTTATTAGTAAATGCAGTCAACTATTGTGTTACTTAACTTTTGCCTCTTCATTTCATTAAATAAGCTTAGGAGCTATAATTTAAACTAATACCCTAGTACTCCATAAAAATTAAGGCTCTCACTAAGAACATAATGTGGACTGTATACTACCATAAATCTGACATTTTGATGTCTTCCAGTCTTGGGTGGTATACGATGTGTAGCATAAGTTATTGGAGGATTTTTCTATTTAAAAGAGTTTGGTGTGGGTAGAATAGGGTCAGAATGTGAATTATAAAGTTTTCCAAAGATTAATTTGAAAAATGAGAGCTGTGATGTATAACAAACTGTATTTCTGTGGAGGTGTGTATTAAGAGTTCCAAAGTGAGGAGTCTAATTGATCTTCCTCTCAATAACAGAAATGAAGTTTCTTTCACCACCTCTCCCAAAATTGCTCAAAAAAGGCGGGAACTCCCTCAGCTTTCCTAAGACATTGAGCGTTAAGACATTAGAAGTTTTTATGTGAAAAGATGGAGGGAGATGTGCAAGAGAGTCTGCAGTGGAAAACTTTGAATATAGAGATCCCCACCAGCACATTTAATTGCTGTTGTCCCCTTCCTTCATTTGAACTGACAGGTACTTGTCCCAGTGGAGGTTAAGTACTATTAATCATACCTGCCTTGRAGACACCCTAGCAAGTACCTTCACACATGCTTCTCCCCCTTCCAGTGAAGGAACATGGGCAATGTTCTGTAACCCATTTCAAAAATCTGTTAGCTAGGGGCTCTTCCCATTGCCTACGCCTCCCCCTCATCCTTCTGATAGTCATCTGTTTAAGCTGGGTTTTGTAATCAGGATACCTTGAACTTCCCTCTAAAAATCAAAGCTTTTTGGCTTTCCCATTTCTTTTCCCCCCCTTGTTTTTTAAACAAATTAGAGAATCAGCTTAAAAACTTTCTTATTTTTTAACTAGATGAACAAGAATACTGAGATATTCTGACRTTGTTGAAACCTTAAACAGAACAGTTAGAATTGAGTAGATTTGTGTCAATACAAAAGTATTCATGGGATATAAGAAAAATAAAGAAACTTGGCTTGTCGCGTAACCTAAAAAATAATACTTGATTTCTTCATATTGGAGGTGTTTCCTGTTTTTAGAAGCAGGAATTCATCTAGCAGTTTTACTTTGTACATATGCTGAATTAGATACCTGAATTTTGACAAATGAAAAATCTGCTTTATTTGAAACAACTCCTTTCTCTTCTTGACCATCTGCCTCACTCTGAGACTTTGCTATTTACTCTGTGTCATCCAGCCCCCTGTGTTCCACTGTGTGCCAAAATGAATCTGCTTATTTAAGAAAAGAGGCAAAAATCTCTTTTGTATTGGCCAGAATACTAAGTACTCATCTTCTCTGTTGGTTTCAGTTAGGGATTCATTCTCAACTTGGTGTCATTGAATCTTTCCATTGGAGTGGTTCACTAATGATATTAAAATAGTATTGAATTCTGAGTTGCCAAGAGGAATATTTTTCTGAAGTTAACATATTTTAAACATTTTCCTTCCCAGGCTCATGATATCTTATTATTTTATGCATAGGTCAACATTTTTTTCTTTGTTCCCCATTAGCTATCCTATTATTCTTCTTTTGGAACTCTTTTTTCTACATTCATTGTAATTTCCAAGCCTTACAATTTTGGTTCAGAGACTTAATAGAAAACATTGATTTTATGTAAACTTATGAACAAATTATTTTTAATTATATAAAAAAATATATAATATATTTCAAACATATACACATAAAATATTGCAAAAGCACTTGCACATTGTAACACATGATTCAGCTGCATGGTCATGATGAGAAAAAAATAATTAAATCCTATGGCATAATGATTTCAGTTAAGTTAGATACCTTGTATATGAAATAAGAAAATATATTCAACAAAAGATTAGTATCTTAAGAGTGGTATCTTGTCAATTCATTTCTAATCAGGTTTCCTGTTTGTGTAAATCTGTTCAAATAGTAATTTTTCCCCAGTTATAATTTCACATTAACAGAAAAATTAACTTTAGCACCAAATCATTTAATTTTTATAACTTTTGGTGAAGAAACTTGACCTGAAATATAGTGATATTAGATGATACTATTTTTTGTCATTTCCTCATCATTGTGCTTCTGGAACACGTGTAAAATCAGGGGACAAATCTGAAAACTATTTTTTCTCCATATTTTACTATAACCATTTTACCCTTTATCTGCCTGTTTCCTTTTCTTTTCCTCCCTCTTTCTGCTCTACTCTTTGCATTTCTCCCATACTAAAATTCTCTTTGTTCATAGCCATCTCAGTGAAAAATAAATATGAATTCAGGGGCTTAAGTACTTTTTTGGGTTTGTATACAATAATAAAGACAAGGAGATTGGATTTGTGCACAGCCTAAAGAATCACTTTAAATTGTGTATATTTCCATCTTGATTCTTCTAATTGAAAACTATATTCTTCTAGTACATAAAAAGAGGAGAATTTAGATGGGTTGGAATTTTTAAATGAAGTTTCATTTCTTAATGTGGGTTTGTTAAAGGTGTGCTTGGGTTATTTTTGGTCTTACCTTTGCAAAGTCAAAAACAAACAGTCAATTTCAGACTTGATAACTCAGGGGAATGTGGTAGATTTGTTTTAATAATCCACATAAAGCTATTAAACTTGCTTCTGGCTTTCTGATCACTTTTGAAAGTTCTTTTTAAATAAAACAGAACTAACCCTTCCATTTACTACAACTTTGGCTATTTTCATGAGATTAAAGGAATGRTTACTAAATTTCATTTGGTTACTAAATTTCACTTGCTGCCTTCTATTATAAAAGTGATGGGATGTGTTAAAGAGGGCAGAAGCTATGTAAATAAATCCTATTCAGAATCAATTTTAAATTTATTTGTCCCTTAAAAGAACTGTTTTAACCACCAGAACTGAATGTCGTGCAGGTCTCTCTAGCTAACTAGATAACCATTCTCCCCAAAATGATCCAGTAATGTATCTTAATACCTATGGCATCAGTTCATAATTTTGTTTATGACACTGGAGCTCCAGCMAGGGTGATTTATTCTGTTGATATCACAACTGTTTGTGTAGGAGAGTACTCTTTTACCACCAGTAGCTATTGATTTAACGTATGACATTCAGTAACACAATGTGTTGTGATGATTAGAGTCATTCCCAGAGTCCAGTAATTTGAGACAAATGTTTGGTACCAGGGCTTTTGTGGCTGGCATCTAGGCAAATAATTTGAGGTGGGTGAGAGATGATCATTTGGTTAACTGAAGATATTTATAGCCAGTTTTCTCACCCCCACAATGACAGCAACAACACAGATTCCCAAACTGTAAATGAAATCATCCATTCCCCCCYCCCCACCCCGTCAGCTCATATTCATCTCAGGCAGCCTTTGGGGGAGGGGGGTGGGCAGGTCTTTAAAGAGGATGTGGAAAATAACTATCTAGACCTTATTCTTACCTAATTGTTGACTTTCAAAACTGTTCTAGGATGCTTCATTCATTAACATTGTTCTTCTAAATTGCTTAGGTTTTTATTTGTTTGTTTTTAATCTTCTAGATCGTAGAAGGCATGAAACAAAAAAAGTGGAGTATTGAAAATGTTTCCTTTGGTTCTGGTGGAGCTTTGCTACAGAAGTTAACAAGAGATCTCTTGAATTGTTCCTTCAAGTGTAGCTATGTTGTAACTAATGGCCTTGGGGTATGTTCTTCAACTTTTATTCCTTTGTTATCACCTTTTTAATGTAGCTAGGCAGAGAACAGTTTTTGAATGGAATAGTCCAAAAGGATATATGTTCCTGAACTTTTAATATATTGTCAAGTACTAACATTAGGTAATAACATGACAAAGGAGAACAAAAGAGACTTGGAAAAAGAAGGAACAATAACATGTAAGATTGTTTAAGAGAAAATGCAGATCAGTCATTTCCCTCTGCTTTACTATATACTTTTGGATCAAGAATTTGACTGTATTTGGGAATGTCAGCTAATCTGGCCACAATATATTAAGGATAAGCAAGTATGTAATCACTGTCAGCACCCTTTTAGGAGATTCTGGTTTTGATATAATCATGTTTGGTAGCCAACAACTGAACAATCATCTCCCTAGTATTCCATAGCTTCTTGAGGGCTGGGGAGTCTGTGGAGCAATGGGTTGGGGAAGCTAAAAACTCTGAAGAAGACCTGAGTTGGTTCCCTGTGTACTCCTTTCCATCAGGGTTTTTGGGGTTGGCTTATCTGTTGCTTCTCATTCTACTGCCATTGCTGTTTACATCTATTATGTTTTGCCTCCTGTCTTTCTCATCACAAAACAAACACTCTGTTCTAATATTTTTGTTTTTGCTATTAACCAGGTAACACAAAAAACAACAAGGGGAAGGTTATAAAGTAGGAAAGCCTTTACCTTGGCAACATCCTAGATCATTCTCCAAAGAACTTACAAATAGAGTACATAAATGTATGTGTGTGTGTGTGTTTGGGGTGGAGGTGACATGGTTGAATATTTTTCAATAGCATGTGTATGCTATATTTAGCATCAGTTTAAAAATGATTTGTAATATAAGGGCCACATGTTAAGAATTCTCAAAGATATATTAACTGATATTCTTTCTAGTGGTAAGAAAGGATATATTAGATTTGAACTCTTTTCATACCTTTTTTCCTAACAGATGACTATCCTTCAGAATACACTAACAAGCACTGTCTTAAGTGAAAGTTTGATAGACATTTCTGATTAGTCTTCGTTTTCTTAATGTGTACTGCAGATTAATGTCTTCAAGGACCCAGTTGCTGATCCCAAYAAAAGGTCCAAAAAGGGCCGATTATCTTTACATAGGACACCAGCAGGGAATTTTGTTACACTTGAGGAAGGAAAAGGAGATCTTGAGGAATATGGTCACGTATGTATCTGTACTGATTTTTTTTTTAACATTAGTTGATTGGCTCTCCAAATTAATAAGAKTAATTTTTGTTAAATTGTTTTCACAGAAGTCTGTGACATTTAAGTAATTGAGAGTTTTTTCACGTAGTGGCCAGCATCATGGTAGTGATTGATAACCTTTAACAAGCTTGTGTTTATTTGGTCTTAATCCTACTGTCAACAGTGAATCATTTCTGAATAATACTTAAAAGGATGCTGTTCTTAGAATTGTCAAAGCTATTTGCATTATAGTGAAGTGTTGGTAATTTTAATAGATAATGGAGGGGCTATTCAAATTTTAAAATGTTTTTTAAAGTAATTTTTGTTTTTTAAACTTAATAGTATCCAGCTCAGATGATTTTCTTTAGTCTGACTCGACTCACATAGCAACTATAGGAGCTGAAAAAGGCAAGCTGTGTTACCTTAGGGTAAAATGTGAAAGCAGTAAGTTGATTCAGACTACAGAGCTAATAAATGGTGACTCCTTAAACCAARTTTTCTGACTCCCGTTCACCAAATGGGAAAATTTTATGATGTGCTAAAGTAGTCTACATGATCTGATCTGATGGCTTTTAGCATACAAAAGTACATTTACATTTGTGTACTGCAAAGTTATAAATGTTCTGGGTTTTAAGCCACTAGATTTTTTAAAACCTAATTTTTAGAAGGAAACTACTTRTGAATATTCATATTCTCAGAATAGTTGATACTAAATATAAATGCACTACTGCCATGATTCTTTATATTGTGTCAAATTTGCTGCTTATCACATGATACTTTTATTATATTTTTATAGGTTTTAAGCCAGAACTATGAAATAACTTTAAGGGAAAAAAAATACAGATTTGTATATCAAACTTAGAATTCGATTCCTTTATATATAGCCTATAGTCAATTCTTTGGGTTTTATAGCTACCAAGATTTTGCTTAATTAGTCTATCCAGATGAACAGGTCACTTGTAACTTAGACTAAGTAAAACCATGAGTGTGTGAATGATGCACTAGAACATCTGAAGTTTTTATCTATTTATAATCATCCATGCATTTTTAATGAATAGGAATCAGCATTCCCTGATAGGTTCTATTTAAATTTATGAAAGAAAATGCTATAGCTAGAGCAGTATAATTTGRAAGTTACTATATAATATCCTGTACCTTCAGGCTAGATGGGAAAATTCAGATTAGAGAGAGATAACTCCTTAGGCAGGAATGGCTTTATCAGACCTGAATGAATTTAGTCATCATTTTCACCAGGGTCTGTGTCCAGTGAATGCATTTGTCAGTGTCTTGAGAGTACCTAAGAGTCTTAAACTCAGTCATCTATACATGAGATAAAAATATATTTTATTTATATATATAYACACACACACAYACACACCTGATTTTTGTTGTTTTTGCTTCAGGTTTGATTTTTATTTTTTTCAGGCCAGAATTCAATGACTAATCAATTTATTAAACTTCTGGATTGCTAGTTTTGAGTCTGTTRGTTGGGCAGGAACAAGAGAAGGGTTTGGTAGTATCAGGCTTTCCTTAGTGCACTGTCAGTAATGATTATCAGTGACAGTCATGGTTGTTCTAGGCAGCCAGACTCATGTGCCAGAAGAAAAAAAAAATTGATGAACCGGGTTTTTTTGGTTTTCCTTTTAAGAAAACTGGCTTAAGAATGTAACATCGTAGCAATCTTTAAATTGTAATTTGAACACCATCAACATCTAGATAAATTCTAGATAAATGTATCTAGATAAATTCATCACAGCATGATTCAAATATTTTACAATATGGTCTCATTAATAAAATCATTAAACTTAATTTCTGCAGGATCTTCTCCATACCGTATTCAAGAACGGGAAGGTGACAAAAAGCTATTCATTTGATGAAGTAAGAAAAAATGCACAGCTGAATATTGAACTGGAAGCAGCACCTCATTAGGCTGTTTTACGATTCTGTGTGTGTGTGTGTGTGTGTGTACATTCGTGCATGCATGTATACACCTGTGTGTGTGTGTGTACATGCGTGCATGCATGTATACACCTGTATGTGTGTGTGTGTGTGTACATGCGTGCATGCATGTATACACCTGTATGTATGTAATACATAATTTTTATTGTACAGATGTGTGGGGTTTCTTTGTGTTTTATGATACATTATAGCCAAATTATTTGTTGGTTTATGGACATACTGCCCTTTTCTTCTTCTTCTTCTTCTTCTCTTTTTCTTTTTCCAGTGTTTAGGTGATCTCAAATTAGGAAATGCACATAACCATGTAAAAGATTACTGCTAAAGTAAACTTTTTAGGGCCCTTTGCCAATAGATAGTAACTCAATCTGGTATTGATCTTTTCACAAATAACAGAACCGAGACTTTTATATATAACTAAAGATCACATAAAACAGATTTGCATAAAATTATCATGATTGCTTTATGTTTATATTTAACTTGTATTTTTGTACAAACAAGATTGTGTAAGATATATTTAAAGTTTCAGTGATTTAACAGTCTTTCCAACTTTTCATGATTTTTATGAGCACAGACTTTCAAGAAAATACTTGAAAATAAATTACATTGCCTTTTGTCCATTAATCAGCAAATAAAACATGGCCTTAACAAAGTTGTTTGTGTTATTATACAATTTGAAAATTATGTCAGGACATACACTATAGAATTACTAACCTCACTGCCCCTTGTAGAATATGAATTAATCATTCTACATTAAAGAAAGTAATGGCTTTTACTAGAATGTCTAGGCACTGTACAGATATATACCTATTCATTGTATTGTACCAGTGAAATGCCAAATTTGAAAGGCCTGTACTGCAATTTTGTATGTCAGATATTGCCTGTAGCTCTAATATGCATCTCAAGATTTTAAGGAGATAATGTTTTTAGAGAGAATTTCTGCTTCCACTATAGAATATATACATAAATGTATAATATTGACAGAAGTGGAAGTAGTGTATTTTAAAGTAATTACACTTCTGAATTTATTTTTCATATTCTATAGTTGGTATGTCTTAAATGAATCACTGGAATGGATAGTGAGTATACTTATTTTAAATTTTTTTAGTCTATTAAGGTTTTAAAAAATTAAATTGGATATTAAATTATATGGACATCATTATTAATTTTAAACTAAATCCTCAGTAACTAATACTCAAACAAGCTCTTAAATGAAGCTAAATTATCCCCAATGAAAAGCAGATGACCTGAGTGTTAGTAAATGCAGAGTTGGCTAAATTCAAAGTGTCAACATGAAAATTTTCAGAGTGATTAACTACTGGGTTCTGAGTTAGTCATTGCATCTGACTAGAGACCAGTTTCTTCGAAATGACTCTCATGTATTTAAGTTTGTTCTAAGGCAGGGATTTGCTAACTCTGTCCCAGAGGCCAAATTTAGTAGACTGCTCCCTTTTTTTGGRATTCCCTATCATTGGAGAGCTTTCCCACTACAACACAGAAGCTGAGTAGTTGTGATAGATACCAAATGGTTCACAAAGTTCACAAAGCCTGAAATGTTTGTAATATGGCCCTTTACACAAACTAACAAAGTTTTCTGGCCCGTGTCCTAAGAAAAGGAGGGTGCCTTGCATTTTAAGAGAAATATTGATTTTCAAGGAAAAGAGGCTAAATAATTGATAATGAAGTTTTTCTCTCTTTTGTCCTTTCTGATTTAAGAATCTGATACTAGAAGACTGATGTAGAAAAGCTTGAACAACATGACATTAAGTGTGAAATTTTAAAAGTTGAAAAGCCATAAATGATCTGTCTTAAATAGTTAGATGAGAAAATGTTTTATCACTAGAACAATCTAATGAAAGGTGAGTTATATTTTATTCAGTGTCTTTTGTAAGTGACATTAGAAAGAATATAGCTTTTTGCAGCTGATTCTAAGGGAAAACAAAAGCATCATTCACTTTAATAAAGAGTCTCCATTCTATAATCCCATGATACAAAATAATTTTAATGACTTTTAAAAAATGTACCTAAGTAAAGACTAATAGTATTAGAGACACTACATACCTTTCTTCAGAAATGTCCTAAGGGGCTTATAGAGAATTAAAAGAAACTGAATTTATAATCACTAACAACTTCAGTAACCACCATAATTTTGTCCATGTTGAACATTGGAATTATGCTACAGGCAGTATTCTTTGTTCTTTGAATTTCAGTAGCTCAAAATATCTAGAGGAGCTTTGTCTTGATACTTTCAACGAATGCTAAAAGCTGTCTGTACGTAACCATAAAGCAGGAGGTGGAATGATTAATTCTCTTCTATCTGAGCCACTTGAAATCAATTGGTTCTAAATTTCTGTCACTGAGCGCTTAATATTTGGCCATGCCCATTCTGAGTACCAAATGGTTAACATGAATGTCAAATAGAACTGTGCTTGGTGTCACCCTTAAATCAGCCTCTTTCTTACAAAAGCAAATTACATACCTAGGCTTAAGTCATTAGCTGACATTAATGATATTAACAAATCCCCCTCAATTTCATAATTTTAATTAGAAGGTAGAAGTTCTGTRTTAAGACTCTTTAATTTATTTGTACCCTATACTTAAAATGGTTTTTATGATTGTCCCTTATTTCCTTTCTTGAAATAAATTGTTATGAAAATTTTTTATAATGAAATCCATCTTGGAAAACTAGAAAGAGAAAACTAGCAAAGTATTTATTGTTCTGTTTACCATAATTTAGAACTCACACTTAAACAAGTATTTTGTAGTTTTACATTCCTTTTTAATCCATTCAGAGGAGAATGTCAAATTTTCTCCCAAGTTGTATGTTAAATCAATTCTAATATGTATTCAACATCAAAGATAAACATGTAATAACATGGAAATAAAGTTTAGCTCTATTAGTGAAATGTTAAATTTGACTGTGTGCTTCAAGTAATGCCATTTACAGACCTTTTTTAGCTTTTCCCCAGTTCAAGAAAAAGGAGGAAGTATCAAGGGTGATTGCTGTTTTCTGCCTTACGCAGGTGTAGGGATAGCGGTGCCTTTTACTAGGAGAACACACTGGGGGAGGATACCACATTTAAGAGACAAGAGCACAATTCCTCTATTAAGGTTTGGGATACCTGGAAAACATTTTAAGTCTAGATAGTAAGTAGGTGATTGGAGATAAAGGATTGGGGCCTGAAAGATCTTGAGGTGTGTCTTTGCATAGGTGCTCATTAGAAGCACAGTAAAGGAGACTTCCTGGGGAGAGTGTAGAGCAGGAGTTGCCAGACCACAGGCCAAATCCAGTCCACTGTCTATTTTTGTAAATATTTTTATTGGAACATAGCCAGAAGCCATTCATTTTGTTTCGGTCATTGGCTGCTTTCATGCTACACTGACAGAGTTGAGTAGCTGCAACACAAAATATGTCCTGCAAAGCCTAAAATAATGTACTCTCTGGTGCAGAAAAAACCTGCCAATTTACATTAAAAAAAAAAAAAAGACCAAACCATGAGTAACTCTTGAAGATTCAGTGACAGAGCATGAGCAGAAAATGGAGACTGACAAGCAATAGCTAATGAGGTGAAAGGAAAACTAGGAGTAAAGTCACAAATGCCACAGGAAGAGTTTTTCAGCTCAGGCATTGATGACTACTGAGAGATCAAATAGACTGAAGAATTTAAAACAGCTACTGGATTTAGCCACCTGGAAATAATTGGTGTCTTAGAGACAATTTAGGTAGTAGAGAAGGCAAATGTCAGAAAGAAGCTACCTTACACAACTGTGAGTCGGGTATAAAAGGAAGAAGGAGAATAGTGTGTCCCTCTCTCTCTCTAGATGGCTGTTTTATCTTGGAAAAGGGCCCAGGGAAGAGGGAGTTGTTGAGAGTAAGACAAAAGGGGTCCTATGATGGTTTGGATTCCAGAGGGAGGAGAAAACTAGAATCCAAAACACTGGAGAGGGGGGACTGCCCTTAAATGGAGGAGGTGCATCTTCTGTTGTAGAAGAAAGAAGAGGATGGGTGCAAACTTACTCTTTGGGTTTTTTTTTTCTCTATGAACTCAGAGGTCAGATCCCACCTGAAGGTGGTTTATATTGATTTGTGTTCAATCCGGAGAAAACTCAGTCATTCTTTAGAAAAAATAATTAAAAACAATTTTTCTGATTTTTTTAAAATTCTATAGTATTACAAATTGGGGAATGTTTTGTAGTTTTTTATTGACATGGATTAGCTACTATATTTACAAGCTTATAGTGAATTGACTACAAGTTTAATTCTGATCAGGTCTTCCTGAATAGCTGGAAGAGTTCTACCAGATCTCTCAGCATGGAAGAAAACTCTTTTATCTTCAAACCCTCCCTTTCTAGTCTTTCCTCTTTGGCCAATAAATATATTCCCGTTTCTTGCATTCTTAAAAAATAATAACTCCCTTCATAATACYAGCTCTGGTCTCCTCCCCATTACTGCCTTGCCTCGTGTTTATGCCATAGGCATTGAGTGTATTCTACARTAGCACTGCTATAATCCACGACTGTCCCTAAAGTGGGACAATCATCTGTGTCCTCTGCATCAGCACAGAGTAGACATTCAAATGTCTGTTGAATAAATGAATGAGATTTAAGATAAACACTTCTAAAGTATTTTTAAATTTTTCTTTTTTTTGTACTGGGAATTGAACCCTAGGGACTGAGCYTCAGTTTTTAGGGCCTGACTAGACATGTTAAACAGAAAGACATTCCTTTAAGGGGTATCCTTAAACCAGTAGTAAGTCTACCTCCAGTTCCTTAGGGAACCCTAAGAAAAATTGCTCTAGCACTGGCTAGTTAAGAAAAATCTAACAAATTATCACCACAAGCTGGTCCTTGCAGTTCAAGTTCATATGCCCTGCATATTACAAAAACCTAACCTATGCACTTAGATGAACAAAACAAGCAGGGTTCCCTGTGTGCCTGATAGAAGTTAAAGCAAACCCTCTCTTGAAAGGATACTTTCAAGTCTCAGAATTCCCAAAATAATCTCCTAAGGAATAGGAACAGCTCCCAAAGTAAGTAAACACACAAGGAAATAAGACACCTTTAGCGAGAATAGGGGGRAAAAAGATTCACATAGGG